ATTTGGATGAATCACCTAAATAACTACCAATTTATTATTGTATGAAAAAATATCTGAAATGCTACACTGAACGACGGAAATAAATTTTTCTCAGGATCATTTTTTTATGAGATTTCAAAGTTACCATACATATGGTCATTGAGTTCATTGATTTTGTTTATTATTTTTTATGCCACATAAAAATATTGAAAAAAACAGAAATATGATTCCATTTAAAAAATTACTTGAAATCTCGTAAAAAATGATCTTGAGAAAAATTTATTTTTGTTGTTCAATGTAGCATTTCAGAGATATTTTTTTACAATTTGTTACAATAATAAATTGGCAGATATTTAGGTGATTCCATTTAGTTGAAACATCCTGTATACAATATATATGTATATATGTGTATATGCACATACAGCAAAGAGCTTCCCGTGTCTCCCCAACAATGCCTAAAACGAAAAGCTCGTTTATTGATTAAATCCATACTAGGAATTATGGAAAAGTAGATTCTTTTACATTGCATTGTCTCTTTGACAAGATTTTGCCTAAGACACATCTTCATTAAAACACTGTTCAACTCTTTGCTTGTAACATATACGCTAAAAAATAAAAACCAATTTTTATATAACGATCTTTCATCACTGACATCATCCAATTGACAATGGATACAAAGATATTGGAAGAAATTCATATAGATCCTTCCCTCCGATCCGTCATGTTTATCCATCGATTCTGTTTGATATAGCATTGCTTACACTAACTTGTTTAAGATTTATAACTACACAAAGTCTATTTAAGAATTTTTATCAATTAGTTACACAATTATGAGCACCCGCGACACATATGGAAAGAATAAGACGTGAATATCGTTTTTCAACGTCTTGAATTGAACCTTGTTTCCAAGCTCGATCTCACATTATTTAAAATTTTGGCGTGGATGTCATGACGCGTAAAACATGGTAGCAAATATTTTTCGATTGCTTCCAAGGGATCGCGCACAGCAAATACACAACTACAGACAAAAGGATTGCAGAAACAATTAAATATATTATCCAAAAAACAATTTTATGATTGTTCTACAACAAGTCATACAACGAAAATGTAGATCCCTTGTTCATATCTAATGAAATTACAGAATTACAGAAACCAATTTATTAACATACTTATTTCATTGCTTTTATTTGTTCTTATTCTTTCTCTCTTTATCGCTTATTTCTCTTTTACTGCCAATAAAAATCATACAAAATGTGATCTATTTATTGACAAAAGCGTCGAAATATAAGTTACCTATGATCATTTAATAATTATAACAATATTATAATCAGAGGGCTAAGCGATCCTTTGGATTTTAAAAGATACATACTCTCCCCGTTCCCTTTTTTTCCATAAAATTACAATGGTAGACATTATAATTATAAAATATTAAATCACCAATTCATCACTTATCAAATATCCCTCTTGAACAAATTACAATATACTATGAAATGACTAAAAAGTATCACGAAGTATTAGCTGCTAATTTTTTTCAATATACACATCAATCATGTGTAAAGCATGTTAGTTGCATCATTTAACATCTCATAGTACATTTGGCAAGGTTTATATTCTTAGTTTATAGAGTGATAAACTAATGATCACATATACAGATTTTCTGCACAAGAAACAATGACGACATTCACTCTATATGGGCACTTTGAGTGGTATTTTATAACACGTTAATATCATTTCACGACTTATATAAATAAATAAATAAATTTCAAAATAAATTCTAATAAGAATAAGAATAACAATTTTTGTTTCGTTAAGTGTTCAGTTAACAAAGAAAAATTTCCCCCAAAAATTATACAATAATTTCAGTAATGTAGTTCCTTGTAATTAAATGAATTAAATTACCCTAATCGTCAATATCAAAACCAAAACTGCATAATAAAGAATAATAATAATGAAATTGGAGAGGTTATATAGGTTATTCGAAATATACGAACGTGTTTCATATATGGCAATTCAAGTCATTGCCACCTTCTTGAAGTGATTATGTTTAGCTGGGAACTATGTAGGGGAGTTAATAATTAATTTATCAGTTGATTAATTAATGGGGAACAAGGGAGTGAGGTTGCTTTACACATCGCGCGCCGTTACATGAAACGCGAACGTTTGTGCGTGGGAGATCCCATATCCACGTCATGCGAAGCAGGCCGTTTATGATGTCGAGCGAATTCGCTACTAATAAAGGCCGACAATTCGGCTTGTCTTCCAGTACGCCGAGATATTGGTGAACCTGCATAGTTTTTTAAAAAAGTATTATTATTTAAAAACGAGGTATTAAATTTAATTAATTTAAGCAAACATTTCAACATCAACGTCAAAAAAATCATTACAATTACGCAGCATAAAATGATTTCGAATAGTATGTAATGAACTTAATTTTTATAGTTTTAAATTTACTATACTGAAATAATTCTTACCAGATAATGCAATTGCTTCTCTAAATGTATGTAATTCAGGATCCTGATTATTACCAGGTATCGGTGTTGGTGCAACAACCATGTTTGGTGCTGAAGTTTCTGATGGGGACGAACTACACACCATCATCCTTGGTTTAGGTGAACTTCTGCAAATTCATTATCTTTCGTCTTACATCTGCATTGTCTTCATTAATAAGATAAACTTTATAAAAGTCTATAGAATATAAAATATTTAAAATATTTTTTCACAGTGAGTTACAGTAGCATGACTAATATCTTTCTCAGCTTCTGGAATTGTTCTATACAAAAGCTATAGGAAACACATTTGTTTGCACATTGAAGAAATTGATTGATGTAATACTTACCTGTGTGAATGTGATCTAGGTGGAGGTGGCTTTCCAGCAAGATATGCTAATAGGTCTTCTCTACGAATCATACGTCTCTTTTTTCTAGCCCAATTCATTATTTCTTTACTACGTTTTTGCCGACCCATTTCTATACCTAATTCACTGCATCTGCGCATGCTGTCCATTGAATCTGTCAAAACGTGAGTTACACTTACATACCAAATTATAATATTTCTTTCTTGTTAATAATAATACATGAATAATATGAACATTTAGGAAATAATCAACACTTTTCTAAGCACAACATGTATATTTATCAATAAGTACCTAAGTAAAGAATAAAGAAAAACTGTTTTTCAAAAATGATTTTTATAGTAGACGAATATTTGAATTAAACAGAACCCAAACAGTATTCAAAGCTATTAATAATACACACAAACAATGAATAAGTGAAATAAGAATAGAATGCTTTGTAATAGCTTTATAAATTTAAATTATTTAAAAAAATTGGCAATTCCATTATTGTTGCTTTAACATAATAGGATAGAAAATTAAAATTAAAAATTTTAGCATGAACAAAATAAACAATCGCTTCTTAAAGAAGCATCACAGTCAATACATGTAACACTTGCACTGACAAATGTTCAACATTATTGTATTGCACGATAATTATCTGCAAGAAAAAGAAAAGAATGATTCGATTTTCGGCAAATAACAGGAATGCAATTCCGTTTTCTATAAATATTCGTAATAGTCCTGAAAGTTTGCGTCAATTAACAGCTGACCTTCAGCATTGGTCAGCTGTGCAAAGCGCTCTGACGTACATGTACATGCAAACACATTGTTAATGTGCTGTAAATGTGTATACGCATATGTGTATATGTACGATGTATGATGCGCGCGCGCGCGCGTATATGTGGATCATGTGTGTGTGGGCGATAACTGTATAAAGGGATGACGAAATGGCAAATGTGTGGATAAAAAAAATAGGGAGAAAGAGAGAGGAGGGAAAGCCAACACAAGGATGATATAAAGAGAAAAAGTAAAAGAGTGAAAAAAAGATAGAACGTAGGTTTATCTTGCTCACATTGTTGACAAGAGAGACCAAGGAAGTGCACGCACCTTTGTACAACGATGTGACGGTACCTGCGGCAGTCTGGAAGGGTAACCATAGAGAGACACCCTGCGTACGATCTGCAAAAGAGCAAAGCCGAAAGGAACTGGTTACACGATCAGATCGATATATGCACACGCGGCGAAAAAAAGGGAATCGAGGCGAACGAGAAGGCGAGAACAGTGGCGTATCCTCTCTCGTACGTTGCACAAAATGGATGTCACGCAAAATGGTAACTACATCGTGAACGAGACGTCTCGATGCTCGTGGACGTCGCACGGAACTCGCATTTCATGGACGAGCAAAACAAGGATACGAATCCGTCGATCAGTATTATCGTCGAATTAACTTGCCTTTGTACAGCTGGGCGATGGCCGACGCTGTCGTTTGAAAACTCGTCCACATCTGCTGGGAATAAAGTTCCTTTTCGTTGTGCAGTTGAATCTCATAATCTGGCTCTGTTTCCAACGCTTCGACGCACTGTTGCTCCCAATTGCTGTACCAGAGATCCATCAGGGGATCCTCGTCGCTTCGATCCTCGCTCATCCTCGACTCCGTCGTCCTCGAGACTCTTATTATGAGCTCAACACGCCTCGCCCACCCACACGCATTCACGACACGCACAAAAATCGCGTAACCCCAAACTTTGTCGTGTCCTTCCGTTCTTCGTATTTCTCTTATTTCTACCTTTTATACTGCTCGTCTGCTTCACGTAACGCGAACACGGTAGCTCGCATGCACATCACCCCGAGTCAGGTCGCGGCCATTACGATGAACCTCGCTCGAGGATCGCACGAGTCTCACGCGCAATGAAACACGAAACACGAATCGGCAGGTACGAAGAACGAACTAACCCAACGATACATAATCCCTTTTCACCCCTCGACTGCGACGACGCACTGATCGCTAGAAATCACTACTGCGCTCTGTTCAAGGAGATCCAGTACCCTGTTGGCGTGCTTCTTTCCAAAATCGCGTACAGTCGATAGAGAAGACTCTGCAATAGAGAAATTCACTGTTTCACATTCGTTTTTTTTTCGATCTACAATTGTCGATTAATCGTATTTGAATTTACTAACCAGCTTTGACGCTTCTTGCACTGAAATCAATGGCGTATACACTTGTTCTTGAAATTGTTCCTTCCTCGAAGCGAAATGATGTAAAAATCTCTGTCGGATGTACGTAAACACACACACATGCATGCATACATACATACATACA